TAGATGATGATGGCAGAATATACATTTTTGGGTTAAGCATTTCTGAATCTTTCTGAATCATTACATTTTCTTCCAATTCCCATTCCTAATTCTTTAGTAGCACAAATCAGGAGCGGTTGTGATAGACTAAATAGACATTAGAGTTAAAATTCTCCACATTTTTATGCATGCTTTAGTCAGCAAGGAGGCCTCAGGCTCAAACCATAGTACAAAGTGGGATTCTGAGACCATAATGGGATATATGGCTTACATACTGTGAGTTCTGCCTGTGAACTTGCCATCACCATGGAGACTCTTTTCATCTGCTTGCAGTCTACGTGAATGACTGGTTAAGCCTTCAGGAGATCTCATTGGTTTGTTGGGTTTATGCACTTGCAATGGCTCCTTCAAAGGAGCCTTCAAATATCTTCCAAACCATACCTTCTGCTACTAAATCCCTTGCTAGGATCTACATTTGACCTAACAAGCTGCACAAAACCAGCCCTTACCCATTATCTCAGGAACCATCAGGAATATTTTGCGCTCTCACTGGGGGGCCCATTGGCACTTCTCCAAAAACGTGCCGTTGAGAAAAATGGCCACATCCTCTTATTGTTTGCTTGGACTTGTTCCATCTCCAGATCAAACCTACATTTCCGCTGGGTAATGACTATCTCTATTCAGGCTAAATGGCAGGTCATAAGAGCTCTGTGAGGAATGGCTGTTGTCAGAGCGTTCTTCAACCGTGGAAGAGGATCTCGCCCTTCACAGTCTTGAAAAAAACTCAGTGTGCTCTCATGTCTTTTGAGGCCAAATCCCAACATCTTTTTAGGGCTTAAAGGCTCTTCCTTCCAGATTTATGATATTGAAGGAACGGTGCCTAGAGGCTTGCGTGTGTTGTTATTTCTCAAATCAGTCAGTTTTTAGTCAAAGAATCATCCAGTACGATTATCTAGTACGTTATGTCGATGTTGTTTTGTTGTGATGTGCGTCCTTTTTAGACAAAGGATTTGGACAGATGCAATGACATTCTGTTTCTCGTCAGGATCCCCCCTCCACTCCTGACAAAACAACATGCAATACCAGTGCAACAGCGTAAGCCTTGGCAATGAGAAAATGCAATAGTCTGGTAAGATTTAAATTAATAAAATAACACTGAAACAAACAAGTCCGTTACTGCGCCTCTCATACTTTAATGCTATTATCCTATTTCATGCTGAACCACCCTCTTGACGATGAAAAGTGCACGGTTTAGCAAATCCCATGAGGTTTTGTGGAATTTGTTTGTGACAGCGTTATGGATGTGGGCTTGCTTATCTGCTTTAACAGGGAAACTGTAATAGTGGAACACGAAACACAATGATAGATTTATTCTCAGATATTTCCAAACCAGCATTAAAGGAAAGAAACACTCGATAGTCAGCTGACTTCAAAGACAAGTTCCTAACAGAGATGGAAACTTTTTTTTTTTTTTACACTGATTTAGCATGTAAACAGTGCAATACGCAAACAAATATTGGGTAAAATAGACCGTTTTTATTGAATTAAAGAATTTTTTGTATTTTAAAAGTAACATTGAACTGTATTGTAAAATTTTACTTTTTCTTGACGTGTTTGATGCCATGCTTATTTATTTATTTATATAAAAAGAAAAATATGTGGTTGGTTTATTTTTAAACAATTGTTGATAATGTTTGTGAATAAAATTAATAGTTTTATTCACATATTTGTATACAAATAAATGAGCAATAAGCATTAATAACATCAAGAAAAACAGTAACTCATACTCTAATATGTAAACTCATAATTTTTTACTTATTTCAAAATACTTCAAGTAATCAGTTTACTCGTTATTTATGTGAGTACTTGACTGCAACCCTGTATTATTTCATCACCATTATTTCATAATTTAACTCTTTACAGCAGACTTGCCAATAATATTGCACTTCATATTTCCTTTGCTTGTTGCATCATTCTCTCTTTCTGCTTGAATCTTCATATTACACTAGCAACCCACCGGTCCCTCGTGATGTAAGCTCTCTTGAGGCCAGAACTCATTCAGATTCAGTCTTTTCTCTCCCATGCACCCAGTGCTGTTCTTTTCACCCATCTTGCTTGGCAACAGAATGTTTCAGCATCTGTTATCGTGACTCAAAAACTCTGTTTTTAGTGACGCAGTGTACCTTACTACAGATTACTCAGACGGAGTAGGAGTAAACCTTTCTCCCAGATTTGAGGAGAAAGCCAGTGTTTCGTCCTACAGTAGGTCAAGAACTGAGGCGCTGTGATGTAATGTAATGATCTCCATGAGTCACTTCCTGCATGTCCTTTTTGGTTGTCTCATCACAATCACGAGTGAGAGTCTGAAGGAAACGGAGGGAGGGAAAGTTCTTGGCCAGCATTTGCAGTGGCAGCTAGATCAGTTTGTTCTGGCTCCTTTGAGGAAAAAAAATGTACGTAGATGTTGATGTGGTGCACTTCCTTCCGATTGGTGCATAATTTCTGCAATATAAAACGTCTGACTATTAACTAGTTCATTTTTTGATAATATCACCCTTATGCCACTTCAAACCAAGCTTGGTTAGCATGAATCCAGTTCATTGAAACCAAATACCATTGGTACTTGGCTTGCATGTAATGGTGCTTTTCCACTGCGTGGTACGACTCGGAAATTGCTGTTCAATGACTTTTCCAGGTTTTTTATGACCGTACGAACCCTAATGTGATGATCGGGTGCGGGTCGGGTGCGGTTATCTAAATCAGACAAAAATACAGGTGCGGGCGGTTGGCGGGTGGATAATTTATTTGAAGCTGCGGATTCGGGTGACGTTTTAGCTCATCCGCGCATCACTAGTACCCAGTGGAAAACCCCCCAAAAGTGAACCGTACCGAGGCGTACCGTGCCGTACCATGCAGTGGAAAAGCGCCATAATTGAACTTGGTGATCCAAGTTTGATTGTGTGCAAGTGTGAGTAGGAACTTTCTATTTACAAAAAAAGAAAATGTTTTACAAAAAATTAACTGAAAATTGGGGTGTATGATAGAAATGTGAGTATTTTGATGTGCTTTTTTTGTTTTCAGAATTACATTTTGGAATGTAAGGAACAATATACAATTAGGATAGGATTTGGGACAATTCCTGAATAAAGTCTGAATTATGAGATGGTCACAATTACCTTTTCTTTTTTTTTTTCTATCAGAGGCAGGAAAAAACACAATTGCGTGACATTAACTCATAATTCTGCAGAAATCTTACAATCCTGACTTTTTTTCCCTCAGAATTGCACATTTATATCTTGCAATTCTGTATACATCTGAGTTCATTTTAAAAATGACTTAATACTTAAACTTTTTTGAGCAAGCTAAAAACAAACAACAAAAAAAACACTGAAAACACATTTTTAAAGGACTGAAATTTGTGGAACGTTTTTTATTTGTTTGGCAGCTGATGTTGTTAATAATGTGGCTATATAATACCTCTTGTTCTTGTGGCATTGGAAAAAAAAAAACACAAAACCCCAAATTTTCCCAGTAGGAAGGCTAATTTACATCTTTTGATGTGGACACACCATTGCCACTCAATGTTGCCGTTTCCCACACTTGTTTCCAACACAAACACACTCCCTTCCCCCGTTCACTTCATGTCTCGTGCCCTGGAGCCCAACCATATGTAACCTCACATCTGGAGTTCTGGTTTAGCCAGGCCTGTCTGGGGTTAAACATAATCGACCGTAGATGACCCAGTCTGGAGTTACTCCTCGGTCACTGCAGAATCTGTTCAGTCTTTGGCAGGATTAGATTTCAAGCATGGTTTGGAACGTTTTACAGTTTAATGTGTGCTATATGCGATAATCGAGGCTACTAAGTTTGTTCAAAAAGCCACTGAACTCTTCAGTTGTGGGGAATGTTTTAATAAACTCCTTCAGCAACTTTGCTTATTGTTTGATGAACATTTAGCAACTTATGTTTAGCATTGACGTTAAGTACCATGCAGCCTAACAATGTCATACAAGATCTTGTCCTCCTTCCTCAAATCTATTTACTTGGCTAAAACAGGTTTTATGTGTAATCACTAATCAGTGCTTCGTTAAAAATGATGGCAAATAATTTTATGTTGTTCATAATCATGGAAATATGCTAATGCTGAAAATGGTCATAAAACATTTTCCGTTCTGTCTGGTAAGAACAGCTGTTTTGGTTAGCAAGAGCATGATAACATGCTTTTTTTATCAGACTTTGAGAAAGGTAGCTAGGATCTTCTTCATTAGCATTAGCTAGACCTGTCTGAAAAATACTGTTTTTAGCTTTATTTGAGACAAGAAGCACAATATAAACTAACATTCAAAAGTTTGGGGTCATTAATTTTTTTTTAATTCATTAAGGATGCATTAAATAGATTAAAAAAAACAGCAAGTATATTTATATTGTTACAAAAGATTTCTATTTAATATAAATAAATGTTGCTCAAAGATTCCAGGAAAAAAGTATCACACTTGCCATAAAAATATTAAGCAGCACAACTGTTTTCAACATTGATCATAATGACAAATGTTTCTTGATTAGCATATTAGAATGATTTCTGAAGGATCAAAAATTTCTGAAGTGACACTGAATACCAGAGTAATGATGCTGAAAATTCAGCTTTACCATCACAGGAATAAATTACATTTTAACATATTCAAATAGAAAACAATTATTTTAAATTGCAAAATAATATTATAAAATAATATTATTGTAATACTTCACAATATTACAATTTTACTGTCTTTTTGATCAAATAAATGCAGCCTTGGAAAGCATAAGCACTTCTTTAAAACACAAAAAAAAATCTTACCAACCCCAAACTTTTGAACAATGCATGATACCTTTTTTTTCAGATTTTACTTCTTATACAATTAAGATTTTGGCCTAACTTACATCACAGATTCATTGGTCATTGCAACATATAGTATCCTCAGAAAACTATTTAATGTGTACAAATCTTTTAAACAAATAAAAATTGACATGTTATTTTCTTGCAGCTGTGTTGAGGTAGAAGAGCACCATGCTGTGGACATAGACGTTTACCACTGTCCCAGCTGTGACGTCCACCATGGACCATCTCTGAGTATGTATCCACTTTTTTTACTTTTTTTTTTATAAGACTAATCAGATGGAGACTGGAACTGGTTTAAGAGGATTCACAGTATGTCTAGTCAGCTGAACCGTTGTGATCACAAGCAGTGGTGCACAACAGATGTTTGTGGCATTGTGGTAGTCTAGTGATGACTGCGGTATTGTTCTGAGGCCAGCCATATTGAGTTCTCTCTGCCTGAATTTACAGTGAAGAAGCGAAGAAACTGGCACAGACACGACTACACCGAGCCAGATGACGGCAGTAAGCCAGTGCAGGCTGGCACCTCTGTGTTTGTGCGGGAGCTGCAGACAAGGACCTTCCCCAAGTACGTGTGCCAGCTGTGGGAAACCAACACCATCATGACAGCACTCCAGCGCTTGTTGCTGCTCATTATGCCACATTATACATATGGGCACAACTAATGTTCTTCTTTGAAAACCAGTGATTATTGTGGCATTTTCTAGAAATCTGTTTAGTGCGAGTCAGGACTAAAGTTAAAGAAATAGTTTGCTCTTTGAAGCTTCACAAAGAATGCAAAAGAACCATAAAAGTTGTCCATACAACATGTACACTACACTAATTTTCAGCAGCCATAGATCCAGTCTTCAGTGTCTTACAGTCGTTCAGAAATCATTCTAATATGCTGATTTGGTGCTTAAAGAGGTCATCGGATGCAAAATTCACTTTTGTTGTTGTTTGAACATAAATGTGTGTTGGAAGTGTGTGTACACATCCACCCTATAATGATAAAAATCCACCCAGTGTTTTTTTTTTTAAATCCCTATTTTAAAATCCCCTTTTTCAAATCAGGCTGTTCTGAGGTTCCTGTCAGAATGACGTAGTTCTGTACAGGCCCCTCCCACGATAGTTGATTGACAGTAGCATTTCAGCACAGACTGTACTGGTGTCTTACCTTAGACCCGCCCTGAGTGAGCTGTGAGCTGTCCGCCATTGTGTCGACTGCGGTGCAGAGGAAGACAAGAATGTCTCCGATTAAGCTATTGAGGTGTTTTGTTGTTGGATGTAATAATGAATATAGCAGACATCATTTACTCCAGACATCTGAGCCGCTGAAGATGCAGAGGATTAACGTTACTTTTGTTTTTGAAGTGAATGCGCCGATCCCCGATCTGCCTAAATGCGTCTATGTTTGCGCGAATCATTCGTGATCCAGCTTCATCTACAGTAGAAGTGAGTATAAGGGTTTTTTTATGAATCTTTGCAAATCGCCTTTCCTAATAACGTGCTAGTTAGCAAGTTCCGTGGCTAAAGTAAACTGTATCATGAGAACGGCTCGTCACCCACGGAAGAGAGGGGCGGGGTCAGCAGAGCTCCTTAGCATTTAAAGCAACATGGACTAGAACCGCGTGCTGAAAACAGAGCTGATTTTGACGGGGTTAAAAGGGTGTTTTTTGCACTACCATTGAGAAATTTTAAACAAAGTATGTTATAGACTTTTCATTAAGACCCTAAATAATCATATCAACTTGTGGAAAATGGGCATCCAATGACCCCTTTAAGAAACATTAATTATTTCCAGGAATCTTTGATGAGTACAAAAAAATTCTAAATTAACAGCATTTATTTAAGAAAGAAATCAACTGAGCTCTAAACCATTATATTTGTGCATTGGACATTGATACTTCTTTCATGAATACACTGAAACAGCTTGGGCATATTCAAGAATTTCAGTGAATAAACTTCAGTTTCTTTTCAATTCTTGCTTGAATAGTTTGTGCTTCTTGTTGCTCAGATCTGCTCTCTAATCAGTAATTCTCCTGTGTTTTAATCTGCAGTGGAGATGAGATCTTGCAGCCAATGCAGGGCAGTCAGGTCACCCAGAGGTATCTGGAAAGGCATGGCTTCCGCTATCCCATCGCTGTACACAAAATGGAAGGGCTCGGCCTCTGCTTACCTCCACCAGATTTCTCCGTCAAGGATGTCGAGCGCTATGTCGGTAAGGAGGGAGAGTGGAATCAGTTACTGTCATCCTTTTCACCCTGTTTCTTTCACCTTTACCCATTTTGCTCTACATTATAGCCATTGAGCAGCAGTGCTTCATGGGTTTAAATATTAATTCCATTAAGAGTTGTCTTCATGTAATGGAGTTGCATTACAGTCCAGCCACTGCGGAGATCAGATGTTAATCTTAGGTGAGTCAGATGGGTCTAACCTTTTAGCAAACATTAATCAACCTGTAATGAAATAAGAGTGCAGATAAAAGTGGTGTTCCTTACACCAGCCTAGCAGGCCTCATCTCATTGAGAGCCTGGTCCTTATAGTGTCTGGTTACACAGTCGGTATATCTTCCCCACTGAGCTTTGTCCGTAAAGTTTAGGTTACAGCTCACTCCTCTACCTCTCACATTTGTGTGTATAATGTATTGTTATCGCGATACACACAGCGATCAGCTGCTCCATTTGGGTCCTGAGGGGGAGCCTGCGGCCCACTGGGAATGGAAGTGTGATTATATTGGACTTAAAGTAAGGTGACAAAAGGTTTGCTACTGCTGCACCTTCTGGTGACCCCATAACTTCTGTCAGGCTGCTACTAATGTATTTAGCATTTAAGCTAGCAACCCGCTAAGTGTTTTTTTTTCACAGATTTTTAAAAGTTAGCCTCATATACCTGGAATTCACACCGAATAATATTGTGTGACCCAACAAATATGGTTCAAACTTTTCGTCACAACCTCTTTATCCCCGATTTCCTCTGTAAACACTTTAGCACATTTCTAATATTAGCACAAAATGCTAATTGTTGACATTTTCGCTCTAAATTCTGCAAAAACATGCTGATTTGCTGGCAAAATTAGCTATTGAGATGCAAGACAGAGAATTTGTGAGGAATGTCAGAGATGCTTGTCTGTACAGTTTTCTAAGCAACGTAAGTGTGACTTTTTAGCAACAACCATCAATAGGTGCGACATTCCTTAAGCTGCATTCACACTAGCAGCGTTTTCTTGCAGCTAAATAGAAACATATTGGAGGCAAAAGACTAAATATAATATAATATAATATAATATAATATAATATAATATATAAATCTGTACGTAAAAACAAAAATGAATGAGAAACAGAGCCTGCTCTTTTCCATCGCGTATGTTTATCTACGGCAAAAACGCAAACAGCGTCACTGCCAGAGCTGAGAGGAGAACGATCACATGAGCTCTACCATCTTCTTTCCTATTGGCTGTCACTCCCGAAAGTCACTCTTCATTTGCATAAAGTTGAAGGATTCTCAACCAATGGTCGCTGTTGCTCGTGTCGCCGGAAATCGCCAGCTCTGAATTTAAATGAATAGGATCGTGTCGCTTTGACGTTGCGCGTCGCTTGTAGTGTGAACAGGGCTTTAGCGTCAATTCATTTCAAGTTGGTTTTTAAACAGTGATCCATCAAAATGAAATTCAGGTTTTCATTTAGCTGAAAACTGGAACTGAAAATAAAATTTTGGTAATTAAATTTGGGTAACTGGATAATTGAACTCTTTATGCTGTTCAGGGTTTCGTATACTCGGGTGATAAATTAAACCAGTTGTAGTAAAGTTCTTTGGCAATGATCTCTCTATATATTAGAACAAATTTTACAGGTACTTTAGCATAATTTTTGGTCACAGTAAAGTGCATCAATACTGCTAACCTGTTGTAGCTTATCCATGTTGTGCACACGAAATAGACACTGAAACAGTCAAAACTCGTCATTGGCACTAATAAAACGTCAGTCAATGATTTCGACCTGTTTAACTATTTTGGCCCAAACTGATTTCTTGTTTTCGGGCTGAATATTTTTAGTCACCAAAATTTTGGTGCATTCCCATTATTTCTTCTGTTTAGCATGCAAAGGATAAAGCTTAAATTAATTTAAATTTAAGAAGTGTGCTATTTTAAGTTGAAAGTCTGACAACATGCCTGCCAAAAAAATAAAAAAGTTATGAATTTTAAAGTTAACTGCAGTGACGTTACGTCTGGAGCTCGCACTAAAAGCTCTAGCTTTCGTCCTTAATGCACTTCTGACTGCTAACTGCAGGCTAGCTGCCCAGCTAATTCAGTTACTTCAATGGGCATCTTGCCTGCATGGCTCTCCAGCCAACAAAATTGAACACTGGGTTTTTTTTCTACATTGCCATTTCCTTATAATGACGAACCGCACTCTCCACCTGCTTTTGTGAAAGCCTCTTTTGTCCTTCATTGCTTTGGAAACGTGCTTTTGAGATCATAAAAGACATCTTATGTCTCCAGAACTATTAAAATGTTTGTTGTTAGTGGATAAAAGGAGTAATTAATAGCATAAATGCTTTAATTTATACACATATAAACACTTATTACAGTCTTGGAGCTTGGGGTGCTTGGATTTTTAAATCAAACCCATATTTGTTGTAGCCACCAGTGTGCATTTGAATCCATAAAGGATCCAGTAGACATTTTTATTGGCAGTGTTGCAAGTCATGTTGATGTACCTGATCCCAGAACAGCAATAAATGATCTCTTTATGGTCTTCTTTGTGAGATGAGTCTGTTTCTGGCTAGATGCACTAGGGTGCCGTTTGTGTACACAAGCACCAGCTGTCCTGCTTTGTGTTTGAGACTTTTCCCAGCAGCTTTCTGATGGGTTCTGATGTTCTTCCTGCCAGTTGTCTCTCTCACAGTTATAAACATCAGCTGATTTCTTGTGAAGAAACATCAAATGAAGCAGATCTTTCACTGGAGCATCTGAGGAGAGATGGCCCTGGGAAACTTTTTAGTGCCAAAAGGCAGTCATTCTTTTATTTAAAATATGCTTTATGGCCATTTAATGATGTTGATTATTGCAATTTATCCTGTTGAGTTTGTTTGGGTAATGATATTTGTTTTTGGTTGCTGTTCCTTTGATGCCCGCACATGCACATCACTCAACTTGCTCCCTTTGCTTACAGGAGGCGACAAAGTGATTGATGTCATCGATGTGGCCAGGCAAGCAGACAGCAAGATGAAACTGAGTGCATTTGTGAAGTATTACTACAGCCCTCAGCGGCCCAAAGTCCTCAACGTCATCAGTCTGGAGTTTTCAGACACCAAGTTAGTATTGTTTTAAAGCACCAAATTTGTTACGGCTAATGTTGAACACAAAGGTGCTTTTCCTCGGTGTGGAGAAATGTTCATTGTGATTCCAACCTTGCACTCAGGATGTCAGAGCTGGTGGTGGTCCCTGATATCGCTCAGAAGATGTCTTGGGTGGAGAACTACTGGCCTGATGACTCTTACTTTCCCAAACCCTTTGTGCAGAAGTACTGCTTAATGGGCGTGAAGGACAGTTATACCGACTTCCATATTGATTTTGGGGGCACATCTGTGTGGTACCATGTCCTGTGGGTAAGTGCACATTATGAGCATTTGAACTTTCTATTCATTAGAGAATCTTGACAAAAAAATGTATCATAGTTTCCATAAAAGTTTAAGCTGTACAGCTGTTTTCAAAATAAGTAATGCCTAATTGCAGGCTTAGTGAGCATGAGAGGCCTTTTTCAAAACATTAAAAATCTTCTGACCCCAAACTTTTGAATGATACTGTACCTTATTATTTAAAAAATAAATAAATAAATAAAATAGAATTGCTTCATTATTTGACACCAACTAGAATATAGGGATAATAAATTACTTTTTAATTCTCTTCCCTGTAGGGGGAGAAGATTTTTTACTTGATAAAACCCACCCCAGCCAACCTTGCACTATATGAGGAGTGGAGCTCATCTCCAACCCAGAGTGAAGTGTTTTTCGGGAAGAAAGTGGACAAGTGCTACAAGTGTGTCGTGCAGCAGGGAACAACACTTCTGATCCCTACAGGTTAGTACATAATTTTATTTTATTTTATTTTAATAAAAAATACAATTATTTAATTATTTATTGATTATTTTAAATGGTGATAGATTAGCATTCTTATAAAATAAAATGAAATGACATCATTTTTTTTCTTGCTGAAGTTCTCAAATAAATTCTATTTGTATTATGTATATTTGTATTATGTATTGTCATGTCATTCACATGAGATTGTAATAGCAAACGACAATGATCCAATCAATTTCCAAAGGACAAAATCAAGTCACGCCTTACATTTCCTTTCTTGTTTGAGAAGCTGTTTTACTCTGTATACATCACAACAGGGAAGAAAAGATGATCACAACTTCAGCTTCATGCTGACTTTAAGCCAACCTGGCATAGCAACAGGCTTAACCAATGGTGTGGGTTTGGGGCGGGGCTACTGTTTGAGTGAAAACCTGCTTAAAAACAGTCATTATTTTATTTGCTAGTAGTGCAAAAAGTAAGTATTATGTTTATCTCAGGACTTTTTACTGACAACCAATGTTGGCTCAAGAGGAACTGCAGAGTAACTGGTATTCCACTTTGTAGAGCAGCTGTCTTTAATGGCAGTTCCACAGGAAAGTCAGGGCTGATTTGTGCTCTTCGTTTCAGGTTCAGAAATAGCAGGAACAAGCAGAAACTCTTACCACCCAGAAAGCCACATGAATCTTAGCAATGTGTTATCCAGTCTGGTACTAATGGTTCATTAGTGAAGCTCCAAACCCTTTTTTGAGTTACAGTACTCATATGAACATCCAGTATTATATCGTCATCATGTCTTCATGTCATATATGAAGTCATATAATAAGGTATATATGGGTGGCATCATAATCTGAATGTTTTATGAAACCCCACACTCAAAATGAGCAAGTCAGGATACGTGGTCTTCAATGAATCTGGTTCCCAGCTGTGTTGATGGCACTAGCAGACCAGTTTAAGACCGTGAGATTCTGCACGTCCCCCGCTGTGACACAGACTTCAAAAGTCCTACAAAACCTACGGTATTAAAGTTGCTCATTGTCGGGGCTCTGCCTTTGAATCTAATGTATATTTATGCATTCCAACCCTTCGCATGTGGCCTATATGTTTGAGCGTAGACAGAACGTCGTGGATGTAGTTGACAGACTGGTTGTTTGGTGGGCTCTGCAGTGCTTTTGAAACACACTGGGGGTTTGATTCAGCTCAGCAGATCTCCGTTAGCCATATAATCGCTGCAATGGATGGCCCACCCAGCACATGTATGTCAACTTTTGGTTGCCATTATGTTGAAAGTTCTGTGCATTTATACAGTTTGGTGTACAAGCATGTTTTTTAGGTGTTGGCGTGATATTACTATGAATTGAAAGTCTAAATTGTCCAAAACATTTCTGTGGATTTTGTGAAATCTTTCTCGGTCCAGCTTTGCTGTACAGCGGATATGAATGGCTCTCTGTCAGCTAAGGGACAGCTGCAGTTCAGACCAGATGTCTGGATGTGTTTGCATCTGTCGGTCAGCTGTTGACACATTCATGACCTCTCTTGCAGGATGGATCCATGCTGTTCTCACCTCTCAGGATTGCATGGCTTTCGGAGGAAACTTCCTCCACAACCTCAACATAGGCATGCAGCTCAGGTGAGTGAGCACTTTCACTTTTTAAAGACTTCATTCAATCAGAATTGAAGTGCTGTGGCTTTTTATTTATTCTGTTAGCTTTGAAAAAAAAAAGTGACGTGACGTTTAGCCAAGTATGGTATCCCATACTTGAAATTTGTGCTCTGCATTTAACCCATCCGATTGCACACACACAGCAGTGAGTAGTGAACAAACACACACACACACACACACACACACACACACACACACACACACACACAAAGAACACACACCCGGAGCAGTGGGCAGCCATTTTTGCTATGGCACCCAACTCAGGGAGCAGTTGGGGATTCGGTGCCTTGCTCAAGGGTCTCGCCTCAGTTGTGGTATTGAGAGTGGAAGAGAGCGCTGGTCATTCACTCCCCCCATCTACAAATCCCTGCCAGTACTGAGACTCGAACCCGCAACCTTTGGGTTACAAGTCTGACTCTGATTTTATCATATATACATGTTTTTTGTTTATTTTTTTACTTGTATACATATTTTTATCCCAGAAATTATCTTCTAGAAGGAAATGTCCTTAACAGCATAAAATAATAATAATTATTATTATTATTGAAAGTGAAAGTGACAGTGAAAGTGACGTGACATGTGGCCAAGTATAAAGCAAAAAATTAAAGTAAAAATACAACAAATTTTATTATTATTACTAATAACAACAAAAATAAACAACAACAATAATAATAAAAACAGCAACAAAAGTATAACATAAAGAAAGAAATATTAATATACCCAACCCTTGAAACCAAAAATTATCTTATCAAGAAACGTTTTTTTGCTGTCTAGTGTTTTTGCATTTTTTTTTTTTTTTTCAAATAAGCATATTGTTTTCTGAGTTGTGTGTATATTGTGGCTTAAATGTAACTGATTCTGTCCTCGTATTAGGTGCTATGAGATGGAGCGCCGTCTGAAGACTCCAGACCTCTTTAAGTTTCCTTATTTTGAGGCTATTTGTTGGTATGTAGCAAAGAATCTGCTGGAGACTCTCAAAGGTACGTCATCTTAAATCACTCAGCATGTCAATACAGAGCACTTAAATCACTGGCATGCTGCCACAACGTTCCCGGGTGTCCCTCCTAATCAACTGTTTATTGTCTGTCATCAGAATCCCGAGAAGATAACTGCCTGCCTCCAGAATACCTGATCAAGGGAGTGAAAGCTTTGATTACTGCACTGAGGAACTGGCTAAAGAGAGAGGTGAAGGAAGTAGTGGCTTACCACACCAGATCTGTCAGATCAGATCTTGAGATTAAATGCAAACTTCAAATTAACTCTAAAACCACCTGCAATCATCCCATTGTAGATTATAATCCCTGTTGGAATAATGAGGGCAAGGGGCGTCCCACAGGGGCCGATATCTGGTGTCAGTGGTTTTGGGTGGGAACCTGAGGTTTGCTCTGTGGCACAAACCCCTTATTGTCTGCCATGTCTGCTCATCTTCCGCAGGTCACCGAGCCAGCCAGCGAGGTCCCTGACCATATCAGACCCAACCATCTCATTAAAATGCTCACCAAGGAAATACAGTACCTTGAGGTAAGCCAGACTGCTTGAAACATGCTGAAACTTGCTTGCTTGGGCAGTCACGTCTAAAAGAATGCATTTACAGTTTTAATGTTGTAGGTTATATACTTTTTTTTTTTTTTTTTTTTAAATAGAAGTTCTACAGAAAGGCATTAAAAAGCACAACACCAGAAAAATAAAAGAAAATTAAATGATAAAAAAGCAAAAAGAGCTAAAATGAAAAACTATTTAAAAACAAGAAATCAGAAGGATATTATTATATATATATTTTTTTTTACTTTGATTTTAGTTCTGTTGCTGCTTTTATTATATGATAATATGAATAAGAACACTTAAAATTGCTCATGCTCATTTCCCATATTTTTATTTTAGATTATCTTTGCCATCAGCTAACATTCACTTATGGTTAATTTTTTTAAATACTACTACTAATATTATTCAATAGATCATATCCATTTTTCATGCCTAAATTAACTTGTAGTGTTTAAAATTACCGATTTTAGTTTTGTATTTTATTTTAAATGTATTAAGACAAAATAGCATACAATTGTAATATCAGTAATTTATCAGTTAAAATAATCAGTGAAAATAGTTCTTAATGCTCAGTGAAAATGGTCTTAATATGAATACATTTTTGTAGTGTAGTCTTCTTAAGTGTTACAGTTCTTTGGAGATGAAAAAGTTCTCAATGCTACATTATTAACTGATATTGTAGTTGTTGTATTTGAACTCACAATGCTGTTTCAAACACCCAAGGATTATCAGAATGGGAACTGTGGAAGCAAGCTAATGAAATCTCATGGAATCTCTGCGTGTCCTTCCACGAGGTCGGCACACGAGAGAGGTTCTCACGCATGCAGGACAGCCAGACGTCTTCGTGACCACCACCATCATCACCATCATCACTCTCACGGCCCTAAAGTTCCTTCTAACCTCGACATCTTCGAGCAGCACACCCAGGAAGTCTTAAAAAAACTTGAAATGGGTACTTATGAGGAGGTAAGTGGAATTAATGAATACCGTAAATGCCATTCAGGCTAATCTATAGAGAATCGTCTAAAAAAACGATGGTCTTTTAGGATGCCTCCTTTAACCTGACGGTCAATGGCAAGTTCAACAAGGTCTCCACGGCCTCAGCTGCAGTGGCGGAGCGGAGCTTGGACAACAAACTGCGTCTGGTGCTGTGCAATGGACATATAGTCAGGTAAACCACATTAACCTATGAAGATTATCACACATTAATCAGGAGCTGCAGTAAATGTAGCATATGAATCACCACGTTGCCAAATACAAATGACACATACAGGCCTTGATGACACTTATTGTTAAATTTAGAAGGATTATGCGAGGTAATAGTCAGTTGAAATGACTGTTTTTTTTTTTTTGGCTTATGTTGGTCATGTAATTTTGGGAACATGTCCTTTTTCCCCATCTGATTGTCCACGCAGAGATAACAGGCAGCATGCTGGAGAAAAAAGACCAAGGATAAAAGAAGACGAAGGCTCCAGAGATGTGAAGATGGATTTACTCAAGATTAAACTAGTATCTAAAGAGGAAGAACAGGAAGTGGATATTGAAATGAAAGAGAGAGATCAGCATCATGTAGCCAGAGAAGTGAATTCCTTTGCAGGTACCATCAAAAGTCTTAGATTCAGCACTGCAGTTGACTTTCTCCATATATAATACACAAAATAAATAAATACAAAAATACATTAAAAAAATGTCAGTAAATATTGTGTGCAATATTTATTTATTTTAGCCTTTATTTATCCTTTTATGCAATTTTGTGTGCTCTAGTCACTAGATATTTGCATAAAACCACGTTTCAACTGTCTGTATTGCTTATTTTCTCAGCTAGTGTATAAAAAATAATTTTTTTTAAATGTCCCTGCCCGTAATAGTGAGCTATTTTTTTCCACAGATCTTAATAAGCAAGAGAGTTCAGATCTCAGGAACAGAGAATCGGTACTTTCAGACATCTCATCGGACTCTGAATTAGATGAGGACTACACTACACGGGTATGTTGCCATTTCCCTTCGTGCACAGGAAGCGCATAGAGTCCTAGTTTAGGTTTAATCCTCTTTTCCTGTCCATGCAGAAAAAGAACTGCTCTGAGGGAGAATCTGAAAGCTCTTCAGAGGAAGAGGAAGATGAAAAGATTAGGACGAGTGGAGACGGCCAAAGTAAGACCAAAAGTTGCTCCAGCTACATGACGGATACGCATCGATCCAGGCAAAAGCTTGACCCTTTTGAAAAATGTGGTAAAAGGTGAGAGCTGACGTGCTGGGGAACAATTTAGGGTTGTGTGTGTTTTTGAAATCCAGTGGTTTAAAACTACATCGCATTTGCAGTGAATACGCTACCTCGCCAAGCACAGAAGTGGATGCTATCCAGGGAATGCTGTCTATGGCAGGGCTGTTGTATTCTCACCCATCAGAAGATCCCAGAAGTTCACAAGAATCCTGGTGGTCTCGAACCAACCATCCCTCCCCTGACTACAGTAAGAGTTCATGAGAGTTTTTCTTATAAAATATTATTTTGATGAACCACTGCATATGTTCTTTTTCCATTCTCAGGTAGAAAGGAGGCTGCATCAGGAGAGGAGAACCAGGATTCAGACAGCAATTCATCACAGGTAAACCCAGTTCTTCTGTAAACCCAATCCTTATCTGCCATATGTTATAGGAGAGATTATGCAGTTTTGTAATTTATTTTTGATTGATATATATTTTTGCATTTACTCCAATGGCCAATGTTTCGGTTCAGTCTTTTTTTATTGTTATCTTTAGGAGGGCTTTCGGGAGCATGATTCAAAAGGAGGATGTCCTGCCAAACTCAAGCATAGGATCCAGGAACACAAGAACTTCATGGACAGCCAGGGCAGCGGCAGCAACAGCAGCAGTGAAGCTTGGAGCAGTCACACACACTCCCCAGCCCACGGGGAAAGCCCCACTTTGGCCTACCAATACTGTGAAACATCCCTATTGCCACCTCTGCACCCATCCAAGAGGCCTGCTTCAAATCCCCCACCAATCAGCAATCAAGCCACCAAAGGTACAGCATCACCATTTTTTCTGCACATTAAACATTTTAACACGAAACCTGCATGTTTTACTGTTAAGATACTAGTAAATCTTGTTTAGGTATTGTATGTTTGTTGTTTTTATTTATTCATGTTATTTATTTGTTTTTGCTTTTATTTTTATGTGTATTTTTGTTTTTCTTTTGTTTACTTATTTGTTTTTTGTTTATTGTTGTATCATTGTTTTACTTGTTATTTTTAACTTATTATTCATGTTTTTTATTTTGTTTTTATTTGGTTTTGCATTTTTTGTTTTATTTTTGTTTAGATTTTTATTTGTATTTGTTTTTATTTGTATTTGTTTGTTTTTGTTTATTTGTTTTGTTTTTAATTTTGATTATTTATGTTTTTATTTATAAATACATATTGTAAATTATGATAAATTATTATAAAATTACCATTTTATAAATGTTATTTATTTAGATTTTTTATTTAAACCTTTTTTTTTTTTTTTGCCTTTCTCTTTCTTGTAGGTAAACGTCCTAAGAAAGGTATGGCCACAGCGAAGCAGCGATTGGGCAAGATTCTCAAATTGAGCAGACACAAACCTTTCTTTGTGTAGTTCCAGTGATGGCAGTCGCCGCCTGCAGAAGATTGGGATGCTGTGTGTGCATGTTAAAGGTGACAGGGTATAAAGTGTGTTTGATTCAACACACTGGCTCAAAAGCTTTGGATTAATCTGAATAACCACTTCATCCAACACATTTTGCTAATATGCATCCAAACTAACAAGGCGACTGAAAGGAAATAAGACTGAAAACATCACTTTTGAAGGCTTTCGGTTCTCAACGATGGCATCCAAAATCAGGTTTACTCTACAAAAGCGAAGACTAGAATGTTGCCAGGCTGCTTCCTAAACTAAACTACATAATAACTAAAATAAACTAAAAACACGTCACTTCGAGGATGTGCATCTTAAGCAAGACGGCAATTGAGTGATGAACTGATTTCATAAAGGTGCTTTACTTTTTTGGGCTGCTCATTTTGTGATTGCAACCAACTTTTCCTAGCAAATTACTCCAGTGAAGAAAAATAGCATTAATGTCTCAAGACAAAATTCACCCAGGATGACTGGTTGAACTACCTTTCAATCAAAATGTTCTCACATTTTGAGAGAAATTAAAGAAAAAAAATGTATTTTTGTCAACATTTGTATTCATCTTGTCATTTTAAAATCGCTCGCTAAGGAGCACTGGGTAGTTTAGTTATATTTGGTCCTCTGTTGCCGCCTAGTGGGCATCCGGAGACTGACTTTAAATGGTACTTGAAGGTATCATTCAAATGAGGCAAGAGACATTTTCCCTTAATTTATTTCTTTATCTTGGTGCTTTATTTTTATTTTCTATACTGTTATTAAATTACATATTTATTACTGATGAAAGAGAACAATTTATTTCATTGAGCATTTAGGAGGTTGTCAGTAACAACATACGTGTTGTGTAATAAGAAGCTAATATATAATCAAAATACCTGCCCAAATTGTCCCATTATGTTAAAATCTTTCATTTTTACCTCGCAGTGTATTTGAAAAAAAAAAAAAAAGACATTGTGAATTATGAGGCAAGAGACATTTTCCCTTAATTTATTTCTTTATCTTGGTGCTTTATTTTTATTTTCTATACTGTTATTAAATTACATATTTATTACTGATGAAAGAGAACAATTTATTTCATTGAGCATTTAGGAGGTTGTCAGTAACAACATACGTGTTGTGTAATAAGAAGCTAATATATAATCAAAATACCTGCCCAAATTGTCCCATTATGTTAAAATCTTTCATTTTTACCTCGCCAGTGTATTTGAAAAAAAAAAAAAAGACATTGTGAATTTGTACTCAACCAGCAAAGTTACCACCTGTTATTTGGCTGTTTTTACTGATATTCTAAGGATCTGGTTTCAGAAACATGTTGTTTCCATAAGTATAAAGTTCAGCTGCCTCATAAAATTCTGAAGCAGTGAAATACTGTTTGAACTGGTGCTGTGTATAGTGAGAAAACGAGACATTTAAGATGGCCAAGGAGCGTGGGAGAATTTTTAACCTTTTTTATGTTGAAATGTATTTGGCTACTTGTCTTTTTTACAAAGAATCGAAAAGAATATTTATTTTTGTATTGCATCAACACCATTGTATTGAAATATGGCGATAACCTCGCGTTTTGTAAGATATGTGTGATTTTGAGGTAGTTTACTCTGGTTTTGTGTGAAAGACCACAGGTATTTGTTTGTGCTCAAGGTTTTGGATTCCTTTTGATGAATGCCAAATAATGTAATCATAAAAGTCAGGTCTTGCTTTGAATTTTTGGTGTCCCGGCAGTAAAAAGAGCCGTATTAACTAACCTAATATAACATTTCTTAGTACATATCCCCATGAAAGAAAATGATGTTCTTTTGTATTCCAGATTTGTTAAATGTTCTCTTTTAAAACATTTACAGCAACTCCAACATAATCTACAAAGCTCTTTGAGCAATAACGCACATTCCTTAAGCTTCCAGGAACTTCTATGACGGATTTCATTGACTCAAATGACTCGTTGAGGTACAAGTACAGCAGCTCAGGGCTCACATACGGACTGTTTTCTGATGGACAGCTTTGATACTAACTATTCAAAGGGCTTCAGTCAACCCAAAGGTGCTCAGAATTGAACAGGTCATTACAACCAGCACAGTATTGTTACTGTATGTCATCTTCCAAATGTTTTTTTATGATGGTTTATTGTGGACTAAGATACTCGAGCATTGTGTTTCGATCCATTTCAAAGACAAAAACCACAATGCCATTAATGTAGCACCTGTTGCTTTTCTCCTTGATAAGATTCTAGTTTGTTGCTTTGTCTGATTGGGATTTGGGCCAAAGTGCACATGTATTGCATTCAGAACTTTTATTGAGATGTTTTTTAGTTTGGGGGATTGGAGGAGCTTCTGTGTCTGTCAAAAAAATGCTGCACTGCATAAAGTGTCCTGCATTAGCTAGCTATGTTACACTACACTCTTTGAGTTTTTTTATTGTTACGGTTTTTACACAATAAATATCTAAATGTGCTTGATAAAAGTCAAAAACTTTGCTGGCCTGCAGGCAGGGTTTGTACCATGTCCCAGTACTTGTACAGTATTTATTTGGCATTCTCTGTTGTGTTTTCAATTTTCTGGTCTTGCAATCAGTTACGTGTTTGTTTATGGAGTGTCCTCTCACATTTTCAATGCATTCAAATGTTTGAAGTTTTTATATGGTTGTATAATTTTGTTGAATATTTTGTGACGCTGTAATCCACAGCTAAGGCTTTTGAAATTGGGATTTTCCGTTGTACAATGTGGCCTGTGCATATTAAAAATTCTACGAGTGAATATGACATTTCTGTATTTTTTGTTAACAATGATTCAAAAGGACTTTGCTTTCCAGTTGCATGAGATTATTATAACACAATGTCATCAAAAATATTCATCTCATTATTTGGGGCTTCAAATAGACCATGAGAACTGTTTAGCAGAGGAGATACTGAAAAATAGTGTAACATTGTCTTTTATAATAGTTCATTTTATTAGTTATAAGTTTAATTATAACACTTAAGTGTAGTAAAATTTTAACCGTTAACTGATTATGACATTATAATTAGTAATTAATTAGTTCTAAATAATCATTATAATTAGTAAACTGGTTTCGCACACCTTTTGGCACCTTTTGATTCATTGTTAAAGTACAATACTCAAGTAAATGTACTTAGTTACTGTCCGCCTCTGTGTGTATATATGTATATATATATATATATATCCCTAAAGCAAACATAAATGGGTGTTTCATAAAAGTGTTTTAGGTTACTTAGAGAGAAAAATGGAATCTAATCGTAATTGGCAATCCGTTCACACAGGAACAGGTGTGCGTTTGCATGTGCGTGAAGTCTCCATCTCTTTGCACCATTTGTGCGCATGGGAATGGAGGAGCGTCAGCGCGTTATCATAATATGTTGCGTAGTCGCGAGCTTGTGCGCGAGCTCAATAAGCACCGCACTGGGTGCGCGCGCGCGTGCTGTGACAGTCGCCATTTTATTTTGAAAAATCCAAACCGAACCGAGGGAGAAAGCGACCTTTTATCCGTCAAGATTGGAACGAAGAAATGCGACGAAAATGATCATGCGCACGTAATTTTTCCAGGATCGAGGTAACGCGTTTTCTCGCCGCGACAGGGTTTTCGGTACAATCTAACACATCCCTGAAGTTATGAATTGGTTATCATATGTTGTCTGCTCCGCAAATTTAACGTTAGCGTGTAGCTAACCTTGCTGTTTTTAACGACCAATAACTCTTAAAAACCCAACCGACCCTGCGAGTACTGCTACGATTACCCTTAACAGCCCGTAACAGCTCGGTGGATGCAATAATTAATATGAATTCTGAAAACTTTCTAATTATTACTTAATGCTCGTGGCTACATGGCCACAGCTGGAGTGATTTAACGTTAGACACCGAGTTTGTTGCTTTGCTCGGTTTCTCCAACCATATAAATGTTGATTGAGGCCCGGACGACAGTAGTGCAGCTGTTTGAAACCTGCATGGCTGCTAATGTTCGCTAACATTACTTTACTTTCATCTACGTGTGTACTAATAGTTTTTACTCGAATATCAGTGCGTTTAATGCGCATTTACACATGAGTAACATGTTGGTTGCCAGAGATTATCCATATTCATGCTAGAACTGTATGATATGGAAGCGTTTGCCTGCATTTTACACGAGCTTATAGCGGCGTGAAGATGCACCAAAACTCTACGTTTCTAATATTAATGCCCAAAAACAAACCAGCAGGCTGGTTCCTGTCAGCTAGATGCTCCGGTTGAGCATGTCGCACAGCTCTCGGCAGCAGGCTAGTGTCGTCACCGTTCGAAACAATGAGGTTTAGGCTGTTAGCCAGCTCTGAATTAGCACGGCTGCTGTTAAATCTGACAGAACTGGCTATTGAAAGGACAACGGGAGTTAATTTCGAGGTAATGCAGTAGATTAAGTGTTAAACTTGTATCCGAAGAGGCGTTTCAAATCATAATTAGGTAGATGTTAATAAATAAGGAGCAACTTGGATGGAAGATGAGTTAGCTGTAGGAATGCTAACATGCTAACGGTGTTGTCCACAGCCAAAATGGGAGTGTTTGATCGTTTGAAGTCAAACTGTTGTTGTTAGGAGTCTTTTCGTGAAAATAACACCAAAGTTACATAATAGTAATAATAACGCGATTTCTGCTTAAATTTAACGTTTACGCCAGTCATACGTGTGGTTTTACGATACTAGTGTTCGAACCCGAAACTGTAATTGTTTATTATAGCTTAAAACTGCCTTTGAGTCATTAAACTAATTATTTTGATTTGATCGTTTAGACTAAATGTTTCAAGGAAGTTACTTCAGCAGGTAAATGAGGTTAGAAACACGCCTGCATGTTGTGGAAATCACTTTTGCTCGTATTAAGTTTCAAAACGGCACAATTCAAACATCTGTTTTCTCATAAATGTACTTTCAAGCCCTTGACGGCTTTAATGTACCGGCAACCACACGTACTAAAGGTTTATTTTCTCTGTTTGTGCGACCCTTCAACTTTAGTCAAGGCCTGTGTGTGTGAGATTCTGAGTGGGTATGACTTCCGGTTTTGCAGCTGTACCGTTCAGGTCCTCTCAGCGAGTTAAAACAAAGTGACTTACATTATGGAACTGGAGATTTGTACCCTTTTTAAGATCTAAATTGGTACAATTTACTGTTACATTGTAGTGTTTTATTGAATTAAGTTTTAGTGTGTTTAATGTTTTTAAAGGGACAGTTCACCCAAAAATTAAAAATGTCATTTACTCTCCCTCATGTCCTTCCAAACCTGTATAGGTGCGTCCTATTCAGTATACATAAGCTTGCATGCCATTTTTAGTAGAAATGGTGTAATAAGTGTTCACGCTTAAAAAGTGTGGCGTGTTGGATACTTCATGCACTCAACTGTCGGAGCGTTCCTTATGTAGCGAAGGGTGAGGGGCTGCCATACTACAATGTTGGAGGACAAAATAACCTAAGATTCATAGACTAGACGGTTGAGTGCATAGTGGTTATTATATATAGTACATAATTTGGAACTCAAGATATTTAGATGGATGTTGGTGGGCAAATTTTGGCTATGGTTTCTAATGACTTCAATGATATGGACAAAAAAAAATTTTGTATTCCATTGTAGAAAGGAAGGTTTGGAACGAGTAAATAATGACAATTTTTATTTTTGGGACAAATTAATTATCACTTAAAAGTGTGTTATGGAAATCTTGGATGTTTTATGTGCCAATGGAAAATTTACTGTGTTGTCACTTGAATTTGCCCTTGCTAATTGCCTTTAATCGTTGTTTGTCCAGATGTTACACTAAGAATTACACTGAAGGACGTTACTTGGGATCAGCATCCACCCAGAGACTTGACTTGTTGGACACCGGACACTTTTCACACCTTTTGGGGGGGGGTGGGCTGACAGAAGTAACCTATCACTGAAGTGACTAAAGGGGAATAATGGTGATTTTGCGCCGGGCTCGGCCGCC